ATGAGAAATTAAGAATTGTAAATTCCGTCCATTACGTGTGATGGTTACTTTTTTGGAAAAATCATAAAAAAGAACATGCAAAAAATAATAATAACCATTGAGGACAATAAAATATTGAAATTAAAAGTAGTTTATAAATTTTTGTTATCATTAAAATTAAAAGTATTCACAGAATAGGATAGGATCAGGACACCCCTATTTGGTGTCCTATCTTGAAAAATGATGAGGATTAAATTTTTATCCCTTGTCCTATCTTATCTCAAAAGTTATTCCATCCCGTTAGACATTGAGACGTTCTATCATTCCAATAAAGCAAACGATGTGACAAAATTTTGAATAATAACATTTATTAATTAAAATTTTAAATCACATCACTTATTAAATTTAATATCAAAACAACACGAATATATAAACTACAATAATTTAAAATTAATTATTAAATTACATCAATCACAATTATAAGTATACAACTTAAAATTAAGTATACATGAGGTATAATATATCATGAGAACAATTACAAGTGATTTCTAAATTATAAAAGCAACAACAACATACAAGTTAGGCACAATATTAAGTTATTGTTCTTCTTTTTTAATTGAGATATGTTAAACTAGTTACTTTTTAAAAATAAAGTAAGAAATATGATATAAATAAAAGTTATTAAATATATAGATATAAAAATAAATTTTATTAATAAAATTAATGTATTGTAAATAAAGTTATTACCCTGTGCTATTTAATCCATATCATTAAAATTATTAATATAAAAAATTTAATTTTAATTAATAATTTCATATATTGAAATCATAATTAATATACTTAATATAAGTATAAATTATATTAATATTATTAATATATTTAATGCATATTTTTAAAATAAAAAATAATACAAACACACGTAATATTTGGGATGGGATGGGACATCTCAAAGGCAATCCTATGTCTTATCCTATCCTAGTTGGACCAATTGGAACAAGAATAAGTTGAACACCTCTAATTAAAATACCCTTAAAAATAAGTGATTAAAAGTACATTTTAGATAGTGTGTTTTAGTCAAAACATTATTTTTTAAACTGCAAAAAAGCACCATGATCCTAAAATTTAATTTCAACATTTTGTGATCATGAATGATTATTATTGATTTTAACGGGTCCTTAATTGTGACTTTCCCTTCATGGCTTCATCATGCTTGTTACAGTAGTCAATAAATAATATTAGTCGTTTTCCAAATTTGTGGTGAATGGTCATGTGTGCCCTGTCTAATTCAAATGATGTCTTGGGTTTTTTCTTGGAAGGAAAAGTAATATTAAATTTGAACGGGCACTTCATCATGAGTTTATTATTCTAATGTGGAAGGAGCCTCCTGACTGCGGATTTTATTATTTGAAAGAATTATATTCAGTCCCTCAAAATAATTAACTATCGATAAGGGTCCATACAAAATAAATTAATATTAAAATAAGAATATGATTTGTTGTTGGTCTTTATATATGATTTATTTTTTTGAGAGGGCTGAATGTGATTCTCTCTTATTATTTTCATGCATATGCTTTGATTATTTAACTTATTTTAATTTTAATTGAATTTAATTTACTTTAACTTTTGGGCACAATCATAGAAGCATATATATATATATATATATTATAAATACTAATCACATTGTAGCAGTGCTAATATTATCCCGAGAAATGTCTCTGAACACTTGTTAACAAAATGGAATCTGACCAGCAACTAGCTGCAAAGATGAGAGTGGGATTTATTTCGTAACTGATAGTGTGGTAATGTTTGTCTTTCAGAGTTTTTGTAATCTGACAAGCTAAGGTATCTGCAAATATTCTGAAATGTCGATTCCCTATGCGATGATGTGCCTCGTCTAAAGAGTAAAGAGCTAAGCCCGATGAAAATCACCTTCTAGAGTCTAGTGGTATATGTTAAAACTTTTTTTTTTTTCATGGGCGAGACTTGAGAGGTCACATATTTGATCTCGTTTATAATTTCATGTTGTTAATGCTTGTTGTCTGATAAAATAAAAATAATAAAGGCCTATTTTGTATTTGAGCTATTTTCATAGCAGATAATTTAAATATTTTATCATAACAATATTACTCTTGAAATAATTAAATCATAGAAATATTACTTCTAACATAAAATATGCAAACATTGATGCCTAACTAATTAAATCATAGAAATATTGCTTCTAACATAAAATATGCAAACATTGATGCCTAACTCTGTCGACTAAGAATTTAATTTGACTCAAATTACAATAATATTACTTTTAAAATAATTAAATTAAAGTAATATTGCTTCTAATGTTTAAGTTTGAGTCAGCAAAATTAACAGTTAATATTTATTCATTTAACATTAAAAATAATATTATTATGATTTAATTATTTCAGAGATAACATGGATAAGATAATAAGTTCAAACACTAAATACTCTTATAAAAATAATTTAAAAGCAAAAATGGACGAAAAAAGACATAGTGATGACAGGAAATTCCAAATCACAAATAATAGAGCCCTTGTTTCAGAAGCAAGAATTTCACAGAGCCCTTCTGGCCTCTGCCCCACTCATCATTCATCAATTAGTCTTGTCTCATGCCACCGCCCGTTTGGCTCACATTTCTTCACAATATTCCAATGAATGAAATGACTCTTGTATCCGTTTGTTACTATGTAATGCAATTACCCAGCTGGCCCAAACAACTAATTTCATATTTATAACTTAAAAAAGAGCAAGTAAGAGTAATAATTTCAGTTTCCCCCCTTTTTTTTAAACATACTCATTCCCATTCATAATATAAAACATTTTTTAAAACTCATGCATCATTCAAAATATAAGATATTGAATAATTATTATAAATTTTTACAACTATACTCTTATTTTATTTATTGTTCTTTTTGAAAAGTACTACTTTAATTCTTAATATAAGATGAAATTAACAAACTTTATACTTGTTAAAAAATGTTAGTTATAATCTTAAAATTATAAAAAAATATGTAACTTTCTAATTTTACCTTTGTTTGTAATTAATGATCATAATAAATTATTGTTTAAAATTCAAATAACAATGAATAAAGAAGGGGTAAAATTTAAAAAAAGCATTAACTATTTTAAATTTGTTTTTATATTTAGAATAAAGAAATCTTCCAAACTTTGTCTTATGTTAAGGATTTGAGAGTAGTCCATAAGAATTTTAATTCTCATTATTAAGGTATTTAACGAGAGTATCATTAAAAAGATATATAATTTTTAAAGAAAAAAACTTGCATACTTAGCCTTATTCACTTAAGATATTTATTTAGAATTAAATTAAGACATACGTATCTTTTATAAATTATTTAATTTATAACAAATTAATTTTATTAATATTATTAGCATGTTAAAATTTACATATTTTAATTTGATTAGACAAAAGTATATTAATCTTGCCCGCTTTTCAAAGGGAAAAATTTATATGATTAATTTTATATATTTAATGTACTTATTTTCAATTAAATAAAAGCATGTGGATCCACTATGAGTTATTAATTTTATAATAAATTACTGTTATCAATATTATTGACATATTAAATTTTAATTGTCTTGATTTGATTGAATAAAAGTATGTAAGGGTAAGTCTAAATATGCAAGTCTTATTCTTTTTAAAATATTAAGAGTTTAACTACCTTTTTTTAGAAGATAAAGTAGTTATTAAAATCTTATATGGTGAATAAGAGGAAATAGATAATATTTTTTAAAATTAATTTTTTATCTAAACAAAAAGGAAAAATGCTAGTTAAATTTGGGAAATGAAAACATCAAAGTGTCCAATAAAAAAATTTTAAAAGTAAATTATAAATAAGATATTCAATTTTTAAAATAATTTAAAATTTAAAATTATTTTTTTACAATTATTTAAATTAATATTTATAATTTACTCTCTTCGATTCAAAATATAGGCATTTTCCCTCAGTTTAATCTTGATTTTAATTATAAGCAATTTTTAACCCTTGCACTTATTAACCTAGATCTTTATACAAAAGCATTTTTCATTTATCATAGAATATATTGATAATTAAAATTAATAATAAAAATAAAAATAATATATATCTTTATGAGAATAAAAATTTTATTGGTATGCAATTTTTTTAAAAAATATTTCTGTTTTAGGGCAGAGCAGTATTTTTTTTAAAAAATTGTCTATAATGTCATAAACTGATAAACTCTCTCTCTAAGAACTTTATCAGGGGCCTCCCACAAGAATGCCAATTAATTAAAAAAAAATTAATATTTTAGTCCTTCAATTTTTAAGTTACTTGTAACTCAGTCCCTCAACTATGACTCGCTGTGACTCAATCCCTCAACTATAATTCACCTATGACTCAGTCCCTCAACTTTTGAATTATTTACAAATTAGTCCCTTAACTTTTGTTAATTTTTTTTCATGTTAACTTCTATCTCACATTAATGAATAAGAAGAGGGTATTTTAAAATAATATATGAGTATTTTTTTACCCTTCTAATTTGATAAAAAAATTTAAAAAAATTAAAAAATAATGATCAAGTTATAGGTAAATTAAAAGTTGAGGGACTGAGTTACAGTGAGTTATAGTTAAAGGACTGAGTCACAGTGAGTCATAATTGAGAGATTGAGTTACAAGTGAGCTAAAAGTTGAAAGATTAAAAGATTAATTTTTTTTAATTAAAATAACAATACATGTCTTTGGACTTTGAACAGGACATGGTTAATGTGGGCCAAACCAGTAGTAAACGAAACGTTCGTGCTTCTTCCACTAAACTGGAGCAAAGTCACGCATGAATATCCGCTTTGACACGACACGACCCCGAAAATTTCGAAAATCAATGCAACTTTGTGATAATGACTTCTCTATCTCCTCGAATCCCACTTCTTTTCGACCGAGGGCACTCTCCCTCATCTTATTACTCCTCCAGACCACATGGGCATTTCAGGAATTTCACTTTCAAACGTATTGTTTGGTGGTACACCATCCAACAACCTGGCCATTTTTATTGTCTTCTTTGTCCCCTTCCTTCTCCAATTCCTCATTCAAATTTCACACCTGACTGAGAGCTAGGGCTCTGTTTCGTTTCGTTGTCGCTACTATGGAATTGGACAACGCCGGAGTTTCTGACGCCGGCGGCATTAACAAGAAGAAGCAGTGTTTCAGAGCCGAGATTGATACATCGGCGCCGTTTGAATCGGTAAAGGAGGCCGTCACTCGATTCGGCGGTGTTGGTTACTGGAAACCCCCCCATTCTACCCTCTCCGTTGCTCAGGTACTCTATCTCTCACTCATTCACATGCATACACACGCGCCTGCACGCACCAGTTCCACCATTGAAGAGTAGAAGCAGAGCTTCCAGCTTACTTCTATAATAGGTTCCCACAAGTTAACATCGATAAAAGAAGTTAGGGTTTTATTGCTGTCCACACATTTTCCCTTCTGGGATTTTTAATAAACACATGTATTTCGAAAACAATCTAATTATCTTTAATACGATATGTGAACTAAATTATATATTTTCTCATGTTTCATGTTTGTTGTTCTATCATGTGTTCAATTTGTATTGTCGTGTCGACTTGTTTATTGTACATTGTGTGTTATCTCTGTGTAGTTTTATCATCATCATCATCATCATTTTGCTAAGCATTTGGAGTGATTAAAAGAGTGAAAATAATTTTCCCCTTTTGCCAGCGCGAATCAGAAGAGGCTGATGCTGGAAAGCTAGAGGAGCAGACAGATGTGTTACATAAAGAACTGGTTTTGAAAGAGAGGGAAACACTAGAAGTGTTAAAAGAACTAGAAAGCACAAAGAGGCGAGTGGAAGATTTGAGATTAAAATTACAGAAGGAGGAATCTGAAGTTAGGAATTTAACCCTTGAGACGAGTGTTTGTGATAAAACCGCAAGCATCAAGGAGAAAGAGGGTAAGGAAAACCAAGGGAGTCCCTTACCTTCATCTAGCCCGGGTTCGATATTGATGGAGCTAAAGCAAGCTAAGTTGAATTTAACAAGAACTACCACTGATCTTGCCGATGTTCGTACTTCTGTTGACTCGCTCAATAAGAAATTGGAGAAGGAAAGAAACTCGCTCGAAAAAACCCGTGAGAGGTTTACTCATAATTCGTCAAAAATATCATCTCTTGAGAATGAATTAAACCAGATGAGACTAAGATTACAAGTGACAAAGGATGCCGAAGATTCTTACGATATTAACAAAGAACTCCAACGATTGAGTTCTGAGGCAGATAATTTCAAGAAAATGGGAGAAGTTGCGAAATCAGAAGTCTTGAGAACAATATCTGAGATTGAACAGACGAAAACTATGATAAGGACAGCTGAAATTAGGCTTGTTGCAGCCAGAAAGATGAAAGAAGCTGCTCGAGCTGCAGAAGCAATGGCCCTATCTGAAATTAGTACTTTATCAAATTATGAGATGTCAGATGGAGATTCCATGCAAAAGCAGGATGGAGTAACTCTGTCATTTGAAAAGTATAATAATCTCACAAGGAAAGCTCAAGAAGCTGAGGAAAAATCAAAGAAGAGAGTGGTGGACGCGATGCTTCAAGTTGACGAAGCAAATGTGTCAAAAATGGATATCCTTAAAAGGGTAGAGGAAGCTGCAGAGGAAGTTAAGACCAGCAAGATAGCTCTGGAAGAAGCTCTGGAAAGGGTGGAGGCTGCAAATAGAGGGAAGCTGGCTGTTGAAGAGGCATTAAGGAAGTGGAGAGCAGACAGTAACAAAAGGCGATCCTCAATACAGAATTCTATCAAGTTCAAAAATGCTTACCCGTCTCACCGGAGAGATTCTTGGTTACTTGATGTGAATGGATTGAATCTTGTGAATGATGAAATCAAACCAGTTCTAAAGCCATCCCTATCAATAGGGCAAATTCTGAGCAGGAAGCTGCTTATGCCTGGGGAGTATGAAGCCGCTGGCATGGTTGAAGGAAGAAGTTCAGTGAAACGAAAGGTGTCTCTTGGTCAAATGCTTGGGAAACAAAATGATGATCCAGAGTTTAGTAATGGTGGCAAAGTTGACAAGGAGGAAAGTGTCCAGAAGCAGTCTTCTGCTAAGAGGAAGAAATTTGGATTCGCCAGATTCTCTCTTCTTTTGGCGAAACAACAGAAGAAAAAGAAGAAGAAACCGTCTATGAATTTAAGGTGATGGGGCTGTTGGATCTTGTCGATATTTATGATTCAGCTTCATCTAGAACTGACAAGTGACAAGAGTGAGACTAATGGCTTCTTTCTGTTGTGTCCAGTACACATCTCTTTCACGTATTCTGATTACTTCACTTGAATCACCTATTCTGTTGAATCTCTCTCACCTATTCTGTTGGACCTTGTTTGTGTGTAAGCATGTTGTTACCCCCCTTCTTGTGCTGATTTGTTGGATGATTCTATTGAATTGTTGATCTACTATGATCTGATTTCATCGTTTTCTGAGTTCAGGAGGATTTGGTTCCTCTACACTGAAGAACAAGGAAGAGTGAAAACTTGATGACAATGTTTTGACGCTAATGCACGTTTAGATACTTTAAAAGAAAAAATTATGAAGGGCTTTTTTATAGTAACATGTGCTTTTGTTAATACAAACTATTAAATGGAAAAACTATTACTTAAATTGATGACCTTGATTTGTGTATTGATGGTTGATCCTTCGCTACCATGTGATTAGTTGGTGGTATAGGTGAAGATACCGAAACGCACTGTATTAAATGCTTAGATTTTGATTTGTTAATAATATAGTATATTGGATTGCATTAAAAAAAAAAAAACCCCTCAAAATTCACTCTCGGTCCTGTTTAAACAGTAATTTTCAACAATTTCCATTCTTCTTAATGAAGAGCTGCAAAGTTAAGTGGGTGAAACGTACACCTGTCCACATTGTTTAATACCATTCAGTGTTTTCACAAAGCAGATTGTGCATTTTTCTTCCTTTGTACCCCTACCAGATTGAAGATTTATATCATCCTGTGTGCTACACAATACATATTATTAGCATGGAGGCTCAAACCCAATTTTCTAAACACAGTTTCTATTTAATGTTGTTCAATTACATTTACTAAATTAGGCTTATTCTTCAAACATTAGTTTTTCCAGTTCAAATAGAAAAGATTGGTTTTGTAAAATAAGATTTTCTGAATTTACTTTTCCATTGGAGTGCAGATTTTTGGTGAAAGGTGTTTGAGTTATTTTGAATTTAGAACTTCTGAATTAAATTTAAATAAATTAAATGTTATATTTTTATTTTGAATATTAATATCAATTCTTTTTAAGTAATAATTGATATGTTATATTTTTTTACATTTAATAATTGAAACATTATATATAAATCCCATATGCTGTTACCATGTATCAATCTTCAACCCTAATAATTCTCTTTAATGTTGCCAGTCTCGAAAATGGTCTCTTTTTATTTTGCACTTTTTATTTATAGATTTTGCAAATATCAAATTTCTAAAAATTTTGTACTCCCTCCATTTCAAATTATAAGATACTTTCAGATAAAATCTCACATATCAATAAACATTATTAAATACATTTAACAATTTTATCATTTTAAAATAAAAATATAAACTTTAAAAATACTCATCATTTAATACATTGAAAAGAGAAGGGATGAAAATTAATTATAAAGAGAAAAATGATAATATTGATATTGGTGCATTTAATGAAACTTTAATATAATCAAAGTATTTTATATTTTAAGATGAAATTTTTTTTTAAAGTATCTTATAATTTAGGACAGAAAGAGTATTATATATTGATATTATTAGGATCTATCTTTTTTTTGTGGGGGGATTATGATCCGTCTTTAGTATTTAAGTTAGATTATGCATATCGCCTTTTTGGTTTGAGGAAGATGGGGAAAGAGGAGGACTTGGCTTGTCTTCACTACCCTACCTCTTCACTAACCTAAAATAAAATATAAATCTTTCAAATTTAATGCAAATTAAATCTAAATAATTTGGATTTAAAGTTTTTATTTATATTCATATCTTATACTTCTAATTTTTGGATCTTTCAAATTAAATCTGGATTGTTTTGATTAATGATAAAAAAATTTATTAAAAATTTTAATTTTAATAAATATGAAATAACAAAATAACAAAAATAAAAATTTCAAATCTAGAATCCAGATTTAACTTGCTGGATGGTTTAGATCTTATTTTAGGGTAGTGGAAAGAAAATGGAGAGGAAGGGTAATGGAGACAAGTCAATTCTAAAAAGGGACAAGTTCAACTATGAATAGTAAGTATGTAATTCTTTTTTGAATGTATTAATTTATTTTTATTTAAAAATAATAATGCAAACATTCACTATTAAAATCTGTTTTTGTTTTTTAACTTATTAAGAGAGCTTTGCAACCAGTGTGGTCTTACTCAGCTCGGCCCATGAATAATAAGTAATGTATAAAAAAGGAATATGTATTTTTTTATAGGTTAAAATGCATAAAACACTCTTAAATTTTAAGGAAATTGTATATAACCTTCTTTATTTTTAAACATTTAAAATTAACTCTCTTAATTTTTAATTTTATTTTTTAAAGCCTCCTACCATTAATTAACCTTGTTATGTTATTAATAAAATTATCATGTTAAATTAATGAAATACAAATGACACACGACATGAAAAAATATTTTATTAATTTTTAACACGATTTAAGGAGGGACAAAACTATAATTTTTACTTTTAACACACATGACAATATTCTAATTTTTTAGTTGGGCGATTTTATTCTCATTATTTCCTGTTAACATAATTTAAGAGAAAAATTATAATTTTATTATTTTTTATCAATTAAAACGACATTTTATGCTAAACAAATGAAAAAGGAAAAAAAAATTAAATGGTGTTATTGATTAGAATCATATAAATAAAAACTTATCTTTTAGTATAGGAAAACTACAATAACAAAAAAAAAAACATAAATAAAACTAATACAAAATTAAATATTTAAAAATAATATAATTTTTATATATTTATTATTTGTTTACATAAAATGCCACAAAAGCTTCTATGGGATTTTTTTTTTAATCTGACATGGCAAACTTTATCAATAATATAACAGAATTAATTAATGATAGGGAGTTTTGGAAAACAAAATTAAAAATTATGGAAGTTAATTTTAAAAGTTTAACAATAAAAAAGTTATTTACAACTGTTTCAAAATTTAAGAGAGTTTTATGTATTTTAATCTTTTTTAATACAGTAATTTTCATGTTATGTGAATGTATAAATTTGATGCATGTAAAAAAATCCGGTACTCTACCACATTTAATAAAATATTAGCATTAACTAAATAATATACGTATGTTAGTTTAGCAAGATTAGATTATGTTTAATATATTGATGGACAAATTTTTTTTAAATATATTTATACTACTAGTTTGTATTAACTTTTCTAATTTATGCTAATAATATCCAATAATGGATAATTGCGTAAAAAAAGAAATACACTCCCGTTTTGCTAACTGACTACCTCTGTATAATGCTATTGTACAACAGTTTTAGCTATATTTGATGTTTTTAACACTAATCAGTTTCTTTTGTTAAAAAAACACTAATCAGTTTCGTATCTATGAAACTAGTTTTAAATTCAAACCCAACAAATTTGCAGATAAGAGTTTTCTTGCCCAATAATTTGCATATAAAGTTTAAACTCAAGATAAAGGTGGGGAAATCATTCTCAGATCGTGTTATGCATTCTCAGGAAATTTGTTTAATATTTTTATTGATTACATTTTTTTTTTTAAACAATCCCTTTCGAATCGATGCCGTGCCTTGTTGATCTTTCGACACTTTCGTACCAGATGAAGCTTCCCCGTGAATTATCCTTTCTGCATATTCTGGATAAAGTGAACCAAGATTTTTTTTAAAAAAATTTCCACTCTCATCAGAGTCAGCGCGACTTCATGATTGCGCCACGTGGCCATATGACTTGACGTACTAATACTACTACTATGGGTCTTCCTGCAGAGTAGTGGACTCTATCTCCTTCAAGACAATACAAAGCACAAACATTCAAAGAGAGAATAGCTTCTTTCCCCACCTTCCCTTCCCTTCCCTTGAATCCAGGATATTTCTCTTTCAGTCCCATATATCATCTTTATTAGAAGTAATTTTTTCTCTCTCGTGTTTTAAGTTTAAATTCGGTTTGTTTCCCGGGAAAATCTGCCCAAAGATAGGAACTTTATCTCTCGCTTACAAGTCTGATTCTCAAGTTTATAAATTTCCATGCTCCTTTTTTATTTTCCCCTTGCACTTTCATTTCAATTCGATCGTATGGGTGTGTAGTTTGTTTTTGGCTAGCTTCATGCTTGTATGGTTATGGTTGGCTTGTGCTCATCTTGTTTACCCGACATCAATTCCTTCTGCTGATCGGCTTCATGTGTTATTAATTAATTACTGTTGTCTGTCGGATTGATCGATTAATTAATTGATTAATTATGTTAACGAGTCATAGTTCAGTCGTGCTTGGGACTGCGATACCTATATTGAAAATACTGTTGATCTACCTCTCAACAGTTCTATGCTGCTTCGTAGTAAAACTCTGAAATCTGTATCTTTTCGATGATTGACTATAGGAAATTTGAACTGCTTTTATTTTGGTCAACCTAAGACTGAACAAGACACTGGACTGCTGCAGGCTTTATTTGATTTTTATCAACTCTGATTTCATCAACTCTATTGAACTGCATATCGATTTCACAGTTGGCCAAGGTTCTATAATGATGACCTGAGAAGATAGAATAGGTCAATTAGTCTAATACCATACATTCTTAGGGTCGGGTTATGCACGCTTGAGGGTTGGACATGGAATCTATAGGTTCTTTTATAATAGGATTGTGTCGATGATTCGATCTTTACACCATGAGTTTGGAATGATATTGTGGTATGGTTTTCTGTCAGCCTTTACACCTTGACTATCATCAAAGTTCACTATATACATGTCAGGAACTTGTTACCTCTGTTTTTATGTTTTATCTTGCAATTGCCCTTGAATTTTTATTAAGTGTTAGATTTTTCCCTGATTGAAAGTTGACTTAGTATTCAGTGGTTGTTACAGGCATCATGGAAAGGAGAATGGGGCTCTTGTTTCTAGTTATCTGGGTGCTGCTTTGGCATCTGATGCCAGAGAATTGGCTAATACTGATCTTTTGAGTGGTAACATGCAAACTCTGATGTTTACAGTAAAGCTGTTAGTTGTCTATATTATCTTCTTTGTTCGCTTTTTTAGTTTTCCTGATCTGTTAGCATTGGTCTATGTTGCATGAGGAGTGAAAAATTCCCATTTCTGATTGCTTTCCTAGGAATGCCATCCCTAAGTTTCTGTTCCTAGAAATTTTGCAGCAATTTAAAGGACAGTTCAATATCCGAGAAAATCATAAGGGGCAATGGTGTAATATTGTTGTATGTCATCACTAATATTATGCAA